AAATAAAATAAAATAAATAAATAAAGCCCAGAGAGAATTTTTTTATTTTTATTTTGATTGATTGATTGATTGATTGATTGAGACAGGGTCTTGCTATGCAGTTCAGGCAGGCCCTGACCTCACTTTATAGCCCAGGCTGGTCTCAAACTTATAACAATTCTCCTGCCTTAGCCTCCTAAGTGCTGGGATTACAGGTATATGCCACCACACCCAGCCTAGAGAAAATATATTTAAAATATCAAACCATGTATAAATGGACATTTATTACACATTTATAAAATATGAGTATGACTTAAAAACTAACAAGTTTTAAAACTCTTAACTTTCATAAGCTAGTCACAAAATGTTAGGTATGCTTTTAAGTTGTTATGACAAGGCTGTCACTGGTACAACTTAGCTTAATGGTCAGTAAAAGTTATTTAAAGCTTCACTGACCAAAATGTAACATATTACATATGATACAAAGGTAAAAGTAATTTATTCACATATTCCAATTCCTATTAAAACACAAAAAAAGTTTTATATGTTAAACTATTATTGTGGAGGTCAAGAAAGCAAGTTCTAGAACACTGAGAGGTATATATCTATTTTAGGGCTTAACTGGCATGCAGCCAAGTATTTGTAAATCTAGCTACTATAAAAATACATACCGTGTATACAAGACAAGCAAAAATGTTTATGAAGAACTTAGGGACCATGTGAAAATGAAAAGTCTAAAAAAATAAATTAAAAAAGAAAAAGGGACTGGGGAGATAGCTCAGTAGAATAAGTGCTTGCCTAGCAAGCGCAAGGGCCTGAGTTCAATCCTTGGTTCCGTCAAAAAAAATAAAAAAGAAAAGTCTGAATACCACTACAGGCTCAGTAATTAAAGATATACTTCCTTTGTTTCAAACAAAAATAAAAAATGTTTAAATCTTAACGAGTGGCAGAAGTATACAAAAGAATGTTGAGGTGTGAAACTGTCTCATTGCTATTTGTTTCTCAATAAAATTATGGGGAAAAAAAAAGAATTTTGAATTTACCCAATCTGTTTGTTTGGGTTTTTTTAATGTATTCAGTACAGGATCTACAGGGTCTCATTACTCTGTAGATCAGACTCGATTCTCCTGTTTTCAGCCTCCCAAGTGCTGGGATTACAGGCATGCACCACCATGCCCAGTCTCAATCACCCTCTCAGCACGCCCCAGGGGCGGGGCTGGCCCAGCACCCTCAGGACCGAACCCCAGCTGTTGCATTCTGTCTAAGCAGGCTCTTTAGTCCACTGAGCTATCTGGCTGCCAATCTAATTTTGATACCAGCACTATCAAGTCAGAATTTTGATATCTCTGACTTGATTTCTGGCTTTAGACTGCATTTTTACCCCATGAGTAACCAAATAACCAAATTATTTGATTTCTAAGGAATTTTTTTTTTTTTTTTAGGAATTTTTTTTTTAAACTTTCTGGGATTCCAAAACTTTCAAATAGTAAGAAAGAATTTGGTCACATTTTATGTAAGATAGATGCGTTCAAAATAAAGCAATGACATTTAAAAAAGTACACAGTCTTAAGTTTATACAATGTCAAGTCATGGTACTCAAAGATAGATGATACCAAGGTTGATCACTGAAATTACTGTAGATTTAAAGCAATAGTGCCTGTAGAAGACATGTGCCTCCCAGATCTCATTCTTTCTGGCAACACCCTCCAATTGCCATTTACGGATACTCTTTCTGTGGTCCTAGTGCCAAAGTGCCCCTATACACAAATTAAATAAGAAATGAAGAGTCCAGGTACAGTGGTACACATCTATAAACCAAACATTGGGGCGGTCAAGGCAGGAGGACTACCATGAGTTCAAGGACAGCCTCAATTACACAGCCAGACCCTGTCTCAAAAGAAAGAGTGTTGGGGAGATAGCTCAGTGGTCTAAGCACCTGTCTGGCAAGCACAAAGACTCAGATTCAGTTCCCAGTACCACATGCTGTCCTGCCCCTGGGCATCAAGCCAGCCACCAAAACCAGGGGTGCACGCCTGTAATCCCAACACTAGGGAGGCTGAGACAGGAGGATCACTAAGTCTGAGCTTTGAGTGAGACACTGTGCCAAATAGAATAGAATAGAATAGAATAGAATAGAATAGAATAGAATAGAATAGAATAGACAAGACAAGACAAGACAAGACAAGACAAGACAAGACAAGACAAGACAGAAAAACCGGGACACAAAGAGAACTGATTATATCATTCAGGCCTCAGTATAAGCTATGCCTTAACCACTTACCAGTTAACTTTGAACAGCACTTGGGGTTAACACATTTGTTTATGTACTGGCTGTCCTAAGCATAGCTCAGGCAGATATCATTTCAACCAGCTGATTCTTGTTTATAAGAGATACATTCATTCCTCTGTTTTACATTAACTATTTTTTTGCATACTTTATTTAGAAAATTGTATTTCCCTTTAAAGTTTGTTTATAGTAAAATCTAATAACAAATTCTGGTTATTTTAATTTGGGTTTATTTGTAAAAACAACCTATAATTTTGTGTTACAATCTACTAAAACTCTTACATACTTTACATATAATTTTTATACTTCTCTAGAACTCAGTGGTATTCTTTTAATTAAGAAATGGACATTTAGGATGCTGAGACTGAATACGAAGGAAGCACCAAAAGATCTACAAAAGAAAAAACTGAACAAGGGAAAAATGTTAGTGTATCAAAGAGGAAAAGTCTGTTCCAAAATGGAAAGAGCAACAATATGGACTTCATTTGTTATCTACTCAAAAGCAAGGGAGCTCAAAAAGTCATTTATTACCAAGATTAAGTCTAATACACCAAATAACTGAAAAATACAGGGCACTGTAATGCCAAGCAGCATGCCCACCATCAACATCTTCACCACCACATTTAGTGAGCAGACATTTTATTGAAATTACATTAGCCACATAAAAAGGGAAAGCACAAAACAGTGTAAAGTATGCTGCTCAAAGAAAGACAATAATACAAAAACAATTTGGAAAAAGACTAGATACTACTACTGTTCAGACTGTAACATGGTGTTGTGTACTGAATGTTTAAGACCACACACAGAAAAATTATTGAATGGATTTAATAAACCCATCTTTATAATAAATTATCCTATAAAATTAATGAAAAAATATGCCATTTTTTTTTGCTATCCTCTAATTAAATAATTAGACTGGTAAGTGGTTAGGTCATCCCTATCATGAAAATGTTTCCATTTCACAAGTCAGTAAATTAACTTTCAGTTAGAGTTGACTTCTTTCTTCTAACTGAAAAAAATTCTAATCACTACATTTCTTTCACTGCAACCTCAGAATAGTTTCACAAAGTTAACATCACTGCCAACTTTTTGTCATGTAAACCAGGTTAGTCATTTGATCTGCTAATATATCAACACCATCAGTGAAATAAAGTATCAGCCATTATTTGCTCCCAAGAGCTGTAAAGTTTTTAAAAAGAAAAAAGACTGGTATAAATACCAATATTTAATTAAATCCAGTGTCCTGCAGATGAAAAAAAATGGCCTCATCTTTTTAAAAGTAATTTTGAGAAGTCATTTTTATAATATGAAAGTGTCAGAAAATAAGGGTACGGTATTTAAGAAATATCAATAATAGCTGCTGTCCTCAGATTGAAATCTAACTGTATTTGCATAGGTTCTATGTAGAATCTCTGCAAAGGAAAGAAGACTGAATTGAAATCAAGTAGCATTGGTTTCCAATATGGGCTCTATAGGTGACAAGTTTGGGTGCCTTTGGACAAAATTCTCTAAGTGCCTTAACTTCTTCGCCTATAAACCAAGATCACCACTACCTAACTCAAGTCACAGTTTTTATGAGGATCAAATGATAGTTCTGAAAGTACTTGGCAGAAGTCTGCATTTAACATTCTTTCCATAAAATACGCGTTTAAATGCTAGTCTAATCTTTAACTCATCTACTTAAAGAATAGATATTATTTCAAAGGTACACATTTTCTTTCCCTATCTGAAGTCAAAGGATATAGTCAATGTCACAGCTAGTATTTACTGGGTAATTTTTCAGCGATATTAAAAAAGTACACTGCTATTAGAGGTTGCCTTACAGTTAAACAAATAAAGCATACCAACTATACTTAAGTAGAATTGTGTTACGTAACAAATGAGCATTTATCAAAATATGCATTAGAAACAAAAGGGTGACCATAAATGTGTGTGTTGACTTGTATCTGTACATATACTCAATATACTATGCACATATACACTATATGTGCATATATATATATATATATATATAGTTAGCTGTAATTTTATTTTACTTACCTCTGTAGATCAACTATTTCATTGTTAAGGGTATCTAGCTCCTTAATAGCAGAGAAATCTGCAACAGGACTTGATCCTATGATATTCTAGAAACAAAAAGTTCACAATTATGTATTATTACAAAATTGTGATAAAAGGTGAAATACCAAAAAAATGTAAAAGCTATACACAAATACAAAGTATTGCATATTTTACTTCATTACTTCATTTATACTTTCAATTAATTTACTAAAACAATACTTTGTAGAATTATATTATATGCTTATATACTAAGATAGTTCCCTAAATTCTCTATACCTGTTATTCTACAATATGTGTATTATTCCTATAATATACACTCCCACCCACCCTTCCCAATGTCTTTGTCCCTTGATCCTAGCCTTTTCAGAACAAATGCAAGAAAGCTGGGGGGAATGTAGTGCATGCTAGCATGTTCAAGGACAAGGGTTCAATTCCTAGCACTGTAAAAACAAAACAATACAAAAAAAGATAAAGTGATACCTCAGTTCACAAGCTTAATAATTCTAAGATTTTGGTCATAAACTAATTGGACAAGAACTGAATAACATTTCTCCTAAAGTCAACATTGACTCTTAACCACTGAATTTGATTTACTCTCATTCAGTCTGACCTGTGACCAGACTTGTGGAAAGATTTAAGTTTATGGACTGAGGTACCACTGTATAAGACTTACAAAATTAATTCTTCCACTGAAATATAAATTTCTTAAGGAAAAATTGTTTATCTCAATTTGTATTATCTGGCACAAAATAAGTATATAAATCCTGCTCAATCTTGGAATTATAATAATGGTTTATTTAATTCAATTAAACAAATATTTACATATTTACTAAATATTTTGTGTCTACTCTAAATAAAACCAACTGCTCAGGCATGTTCCATAGTAAACAGTAATATCACCATATATGAAACAATTGTCATAGATGGCATTCTTTACATACGGTTTTCTTTCAATAACAAAGGTATTGAAACTGATCTGAGTGGTATTTGTACTCTAAAACTCTACTTGGGCTTATTCAAGAAACACGATCTTCACCTGTAAAATAGGAAAATAATCTCTGTCCTGCTCACTTCACAAATTAAGTGAAATAATTCTCCACTGTAAACTATCCCTAGGAACTTAAAAATCCAGGAAGCTTTATCTTTCTCATGGCAGTGCTTCCGGCCTTCCACACGACTGAAGAGAACCTGTATCTGTTAAAGTATAGGTATACCATATATCACATATATATCATAGATCACAAAGGATCTTTAAAAATTAACCAAGTGTCTCCCCACAAAAAACCAAATTTTATAATGAAAAGTTTACTTTGGGCTGGAGCGATAGCTCAGTGGCTTAAGTGCCCTCCTGGTAAGCACAAGGTCCTGAGTTCAATCCCTGGTACGGTGCGGTGCGGTGCGGTACAGACGAACGGACAGTTTATTTTACTTAAAGCAAAAACTTCAACATGTTTATAATAAGGCTATAATGTGTATGTCTTGCTGCCAGATAGGTTTAAATGCCTGGTGGCACATGCATGACTGTCCCATCTGGTGGCACGAGACAGTCCCATTGGGTAGTCAACCTGGTGTGAACATATGAACTTGTATAAGGAACTCGCTATACCGGGTGGCAGTAAATTCTACTTGGAAAAAAATCCCATTTTTACTTTTACTAGTTCTGTTAAAATGGGATTTTAAAACACCTGTTACAAAATTAATACAAAATCAAAACATTCTATTGATATTTGAGAGATGTTTTCATACACAGCATACATATTCATACACTGTATTCATAAAAACTCATGAATTCATGAAGGAAAACATGTCACATTTTTCCAATTTAAGATTATAAAATATAATTGCCATATGTGTTATGAACAATGGGACAAACAAGCTGCAGCCAACAATATTCTAAAAGGCATATAAGAATCTTCATAAGTACAAATTAAACCACAAATGGTATACTGCTCTGCTCCTACCCAGACATATCTTCTCCACTATTCCATCGAAATCAACTCATCTGACACAGCACTTACTTCTTTCTACTAACGCATTCAGGTTTTAAGTTATCTTACCTTCTGTGAAGTCATCCTGTCTGATGGTGGAATCATCTCGGGAGTAAGAATGTGAGGAGGATCAATGCCTTTTATTAACTTTTGATTGATTAAGTGAAAAGCCAAAGCAAACTGATCCTTTGAAAGCTTCCCACAGTCTTTTGTGTCACATAATGCCCTGTACAAGTAAGCAAAATGAACATATATAAATGCTGTAACAACCACCCTAAATATCTAGAAAAAAAATACAACCATGTATTTTAAAAAAAAATAATCAGTTGAATTAAAAAAAAAAAAAGAATCATACCAATTTGCAGCTTGCCCAAAATTCACCTGTTTGAAGTAATAAATCAAAATGGGGGTAGTCACACTACTGCAGATTTGAGTTACAAGTATCTAATCTGATCTTTTTATTAATTTCCAGAAACACTACAAATTGTGAACCAATGAACCTCAATGTTCCCTCCTCCCTATTTTATTTTGTTTTTTTAAGTACTAGGGATTGAACTCGGGACCAGGCAAGCACTTATTCTACTGAGCTATCTCCCCAGGGTGTGTCTCAACAAATTTAGTTCACTTGTGGCACTGTAATAATTCTAACACAAGCAAAAAATCTGTGTCAGTTTGTTTCCTGCAATTTTTGGAGATGAAAGATAAAAGGATCACCAAGCCAAACAGAAGGAACAGCTGCAAATGGAGATCACATTTAAGGAGTAGGCAACAACTGGGAAGGTTTCACAAAATTCCTTGAAGAAAAACAACAAACATATTCTATTTTCTTTTTTATTTTTAAATCTCAGCTTTCTCAAGTGTGATTTGTTTAATTCTCTGGAAACCAATATGACCTGATTAAAAAAAAACTATAGGTTATTAAATACAATTTGAATTGCAGCTTTTCTACTTATTTTGCTTTATAATCTGACTCAAATTTTTTTCTTTAAGGCTTAGTTTCTTTATCTATAAAGCAGAGATAACGTCTATCTTGGGAGGTAGGAATTAAAGACAAAATACGTTAAAAGTCTGGGCAGTCCGGTGTAGTAGTGAATGCCTGTAATCCCAGCACTTCAGAGGCTGAGGCAAGCTGTGAGCTTGAGGCCGGCCTAGGCTACACAAATGAGTTCAAAGCCAGCCTGAACTACATAGTGAAACTCTGTCTCAAAAAAACCCCTCCCCCCCCCAAAAAAAAAGAAAAGAAAAGAAAAGCATGTCTGGGTATAATGCCAAGATCTTCTGTGAGAGCTACCATTACAGACTACAGAACCTAATCTGGGTACTCAAAAGAAGCACCCAATATTAATTATTCATGATTAATCTCTCTCAAGACTTGGTACTTGTCCCTTTTAAGGAAGAGCTACTATTCTCTTCTGTTCTTTTTAAAGTTTCTCCTTATAACAATATGGTTCCACTTTTCATCTTTACTGTTTCTTTTTTTTTTTTTTAAAGATTTATTTTTATTTTTTTTTATTTATTTGAGAGAGAGAGAGAGAGAGAGAGAGAGAGAGACCAGCTCAGCCCACCAGGGGGCACGGCTGGCTGGCATGTGGTGCTGGGGGATTGAACCGCGGTCCCTGATGCTTTGCTAAGCTTGTTCTAAGTAGGTGCTTTAGACCACTGAGCCATCTCTCCAGCCCCTTTACTGTTTCTTGAAACTCTCAAAATAAGCTATTATAACCAAAAATAAAATAAAATAAAATAAAATGTCCTTTGATATAAAAAAAAAATAAGCTATTATGGTACAAGGTAGTTGTATTAATAACAGGCATACTACAAAAAATTTTCACATTTATCATATTTAAAGTGCAATTCATTAAAAGCACTTAAGGTTTCTCTTTTTTAAGGACCACACGTGTTATGCAAAGGAGGAAAAGTATACATTTATCCTACAGAATGATGTTGGTATGCCTAAAGATGTTTTTATATTGTTTTAATTTCACATGCATGAAGTGGCCTTAAAATTTCATTTTTTTTTATTAGTACATGTTTGCAGTATATAACATTTACATTCACACAGGGGACGGTACATGTACATTACACATGTTAATTCTTTTCTTTATCCCCTTTCTTCTCTTTTCTTTCCCCTCCATCTCCTGGTCCTCTTACCTTCTGCAGAAGTTCTATCTCTCTGCTTTCTATTTTAATATAAACAGATACAGCACTTTAAACAGCAATAAACACAGACACTGTAGATCTTATAAAGCTCCAAACAACACATTTTCAAGCTTTTGTCCATTACCCAAATCTCTTCAGATTTATTTATTTATTTATTTTTTCCAAAAAGAATTCTCAAGTAAACCAGCTACTTGGGAGATAGAAGCAGGATAATCACAATTATAAGGCCAGTCTGGAAAACTTACTAAGACTCTTCTTAAAAACAAAGAAGTTGACCATTGTGGCATGTGCCTATAATCTCAGCACTCTAGGAAACTTGAGGCAGTGGAAACTTTAAGCCCACCCTGGACAACCTGATCATTTATGGAGTTTCTGTCTCAAGAAGTGGAAAAGCCTGGGATAGAACTCTGTGTGAAAGCCCTGGGTTCAACGCTCAGTGGTAGGAGTAGCCTTCAGTTGGATCCCCAGTAGGGGGTGGGGGGGTGCAGGGAGATGGCTCAGTGGAATAAGTGTTTCTCTGGCAAGCGCAAGGGCCTGAGTTCAATCCCCGGTTCCTCAAAAAAAAAAAAGAATCACCCAGAACCAGAGAAACAGAAATCATGCTGTTCATAAAAGTGACTTTTCTTTAATTATAATTTTATTTTGAAGAATAAAAACAAAAGTGAGAACAAAGATCAGAAAGACAGAAACAGGGTAGCATATAACAATACATGTTACAGATTTTCAAAACAAGACTAGGTGATTAACAATAGTTGATATATTATCTATTTTTATCGTCAAATCTGTTACTCAGATTAACAGATGCTGTTATCAAAGATTGGAGATATGATTGAATGTTACTGCTTGCTTTCAAAAAATACACACATACACACACACACACACACACACACACACACACACAAGTGATGTCCACTTTAGGAACTGGTATGTTCATGTGACATATCTTGTTTATTTTAAATTCTTACTTTTTGATTCCTTTCTTTTCCCAGCACCTGATCCTCTCAATAATACCTATGAGTGTACCTACTGGTTTCTCATTATCTTCTCTTTATTATACTCATTTGTTTATATCTTAAGATTTCTCATGTAGGAGAAAGACTGTGCAAGATTGTCTTTCATTTTTTATTTTCTGTATTTTAGGACAGGGTCTATAGGGTCTCACTCAGACTCATAGTGATCTGCCTGTGGTCAGCCTCCCAAAAGCTAGGATTACAGGCACACACCACCACGCCCAGTCTCAATTGCCAGCTCAGCATGGTCTGGGGGCAGGGCCAACACAGCAGGCTTTAATCCAATGAGCTATTTGGTTGGTCTAGATTGTTTTTTATGATTTAGCTTTTAAAGGGTCAACTTTCTCTGCAGGTCCCATATTGTTTTGAATTAAAGTTTAATTCTTCAACATGCAAAATAAAGAAAACAAAATGTGATAAGAAAAAATAAATAAAAGTGACTTTTAGAATGAAGGTACAAAATAGAGTGACACAAAACTGTATTTTTTAAAAAAATCAATTTAAGTCTTACCAAATACGGGCTAGTAAGGCAGAAGGTAAGCCTGTTTTCAGGAAGATTTCACGGACCTCCAATCCAGATACGAATCCATCCATATCTTTATCTGTTTTCAGGAAGATTTCATCATATTTAGCTTTTTCTGCTGAGGACACAACCCACTAGAGAGGGTGGGAAGGAGGAAAAAACAGTATTTCTGCCAAAATGGAACACACTATGAAGCATCACTCTTCCAACCCATGCCAGTATCTGTCATAATTTCAGAATAAATCTATCCTACTAACTATAACAGCATATCACCTCCAAAATGTTGTGGTACAAACAAAATAAGAAAACTACAGGTCAAGTGGAACCAAACATATAAATGTCCATCTTACTTTTTTTCTTTTAAGTAATGAGCAAAGTGAAGCATAGTTAACTCCTGACTTATAAATTCCCATCCCCATAGGTAGCTTACAAGTAAACAAAAGTCAGATAATTTTCAATCTTAATTTTCTATAGTTGCATCCAGCATTGTTACTATAGTCAAACTGGCCAATCTACATATTGTGTCATTATATTGCTTTATTCAATTTAAGAAGAGACAGGTTCAAAGGAGAAAAAAGCCCCGGACAAATCAGAATTGGACAATCTGATCCCCCAAAATCAAGAGTTAACTAGAGATTAACAAAAGCAAGTATTAATCATGCCAGGGCAAGCATGCTGTGTTAGCATGTAGTATCTTCCATCACTTAATTCCAGGTAAATAAAGGCAAAGCCAATGAAAAGATCCATATGACCTAAATAAAGCAGAGACAGTGAACCTTTCAGAGCTTTGAATGATACAAACAGTATGCAGTGGCGCTTGTGCCACAACTTCACTATCACAGACTAAGGCAGTGCAGAGGAATAACCATCTCCTCTGGGGCATCACACTGCGTAGTTTCAAGTTCCAGAAAGAGCTCTAAAACTGTGCTTAGCTGCTCCTTCTATCTTTTTCAAATAATCAACTGTTAAAAACCATGTACTTTGTTAAAAAAAAAAAAAAAACAACCTTTAACACTGATAAATCTATACCTGTCTTAATGGTGTTTTGGTAGGTAAAATGCCTACAGGTGGCAAGGAGTGGTAAGATTCCTTGGCTGGTGCTGAGGAGGGGATCAATCGCATAGAGCCTGATATACTGACCGTTTTTCTTTTAGATGGTGGCACCAAAGCTGGAGGCAAGGACATTGGCACAGGTTCCTTCTCCAGTGCACAGTATACCAAAAACATGGCCTTCAAAAATAGATGAACCAAGATCATATATATTAAAATTATTTAACATTCACCCATTGAATTAACAATCATTCAAAAACAAATCATCGTATCTTCAAGCTATCTCAAATTCTTTTTTAAGAAATTAAGGGGCCAGGGATATAGCTCAGCAGCACAATGCCTGCCTGGCAAGCATGAGGTCCTAAGTTCAATGCCTGGTAGAGAAGAAAGGAAGGAGAGAGGGACGGAAGGAGGGAGGAAGGAAGGGAGGGAGGGAATTCATTATGCAGGGGTCAAGTATGGTGTTATGTACCTGTAATTCCAGTACTTTGGTTAGCTAAAGTAGGAGAATCACTAGGTCAAGTCCACACTGAGCAACTTAGTGACTAAGCAACTCCCTATCTCAAAATAAAGTTTAAAAAAGAAAAACTCAACGTGAAAATCTGCATCTAATCATCAGCAAGACGGAGGGAAGGGAGAGGGAACAAAAAAGAAAAATTACTCTGAAAAAGTACGGGGAAAGGGAAGAAATAAAAGGAAAACAGAAACAAAAGCCAAACCATTTTTGGGAAGATATCCTGAGGAACAAAAACTTAAGAGACATGCCCTGCAACTAAAGTTCTTCACTGATAAAGGCAAATGACAATGTGGGGGAAAATGTTATCTGCAAAAAATAAGTTAATCATTCTAACATGTAAAGTATTTCTATAAAAAGAAAATAAAACTAATTTCAATATTAAAATAGAATATGAACAGACATTTGGCAGAAAAGTAAATATAAATGGCCCATCTTCGAACACACAAAAATATGTGCATTTCCCTTTATTTCGCTCTTAAAAAAAAAAAACTACAAATCAAACTAAAATAGCATCGTCCACCTAACTGGCAAAAATCCAAAGTTGACTAATGTACTTGTTAGCTAAACTGGTGACCAGGGCACTGCCATGTATTGCTGGTGGGCAGTGAAGGAAAACAGAATATGCCATCCGAAAAAACATGCCACTCCAGCACAAGAATCTTTCTGAGCTAAAGGGACTAAGAAACAATAGCTAGAAGAATAGCTCTCTGCCTCCCACTCATTATTTCCCTAAGAGAACATAAATTTACAAAGGTATCCTTTGGCTGCCTCTCTATAAGAAAATGTCAGAATTTACTCCTCAAAACAATTTTAGACTTTTATCAGACTAAACATGGCATATTAGAGAAACTGACATAACTACTACATAAATTACGTGTGTATACCACTAGCTTCCTATGTATGGTATTTGCCTTCCAACATTTGTAGCCCTTACACACTCAAGTTTCTTTCCTTTGTCCTTTCTCTCACATAAAATGCTTTAGGAAAAACACTGTCTACTTTAGCACTGTTTGCACTAGCACCCAGATATCCACCAACAAAAAACTGGTTTAGAAATATACAATATATTTATATAATGAAATACTAGAACACACCGAAAGAAAACTCATGAGGATATAACCCTAACTCTTGTGGGGCCTCTCCTGGTATATAATTGTAAATTTGTCAAATTATACCCTTAAATTGAATGCACTTCATTATCTTTAATAAAGTTGGCCAGGAAAAAAAAATAAATAAATCACGTAGCACTCTATGTGAAAATAAATTCAAGATCCAAGATACACTGATGAGCATGAAAACAAACTGTATATGATATGTTATCTCTTGTAGTAGGAAAAATTATTCATATATGCTTACATTTGCAATAAGAAATTCTGAGGATCAACACAAATTTTAAGTAGAGCAGGGGTAACTGAAGCAGCTTAGGGTAGGAATATAACAGATTTCCACTGAATACCTTCTTTTATTGATACAAGAGAATATGTTATCTATTTTTAAATATTTTAATTAATGAACACTCAAAGCACTTGCGCAAAGTGGAACATCGGGGCTATAGACTGTCCTAGGATGTAACTTCTCCATTAAAAAGATTCAAGGCACTTTCAAAACTCTTAAGAGGATAAAAAGTTTCCAGGGCTAGGGGTGGAGTGCAGGGAGAAAAAGAACAAAGGAATTAAAAACAAGAAGTTTCCAAAATTATCGTTAATCATATACAAATATTCAAAGCAGACTGGAATCTCTAGGAAGATTCCAGCAGCAGCAAAGAGAAAGTTTGCATATTTTTTCTTGATACTCCTTCTTCTACTAAAATCTTAATTCTTCCATGAGTAAATTCTCTTCAAAGTTAAGTTTTGTGGCACTTTCACATCAGTATCTCTTGAGTATCCAAGACAATACAGTTAACTGTGATAGATGATTTCTTTATCAATATTTTACAAATGAAGAAACTGAGGCTCAGAGATGGCTGGTATAATATTTTAAAGAAACAACACACTCAGCCACCTTATCTTTGAAAAAGGGGCCAAGGCTGGGGAGATAACTCAGTAGAACAAGTGCTTGCCTGAAAAAGGGGCCAAACAGGCTCACTGGAAGAAAGACAGCCTTATGGTGCTGGAAAAACTGGCCTTCCACAGGCCGAAGGCTAAAACTAGACCCATGCCTACCACAATACAAAAAGCTACAGTCTAAATGGATCAAATATCTAAATATTAAAACACAAACACTAACTCTTCTGGAGGAAAATGTAGGTAGAAATCTTAAAGACATAGGGGTAGGTAGAGAGTTCATGAACAAAAACTAAACTCCACAGGAAATATTTCAAAGAATCAACAACTGTGATCTCAACTTTTTGAAAAGTTTCTGCACCTCAAAGCAAATCTCCAACAAAGTAAAAAGAAAACCAACACGCTGGGGTAAAAAAATTATAGTTGACTGCCCCTCAAACAAAGGTCTTCTATTAAGAACATACAAAGAATTAAAAAAAATCAAGCCCCCCCCATTCAAAGACCTAATCTAAAAAATGGGCATCTGAGATGTATATATACTTCTCAGAGGAAGAAATACAAATGGCAAGTAAATATATGTGAAAATGTTCAATATCATTGGTCATTTGAGAAATGCAAATTAAAACAACACTAAGATTCCATCTCACCCTACAAAAAATGGCTAACATCAAGAAGTCAGCCATTCATTGGTCAGCCATTCATGCTAGAGAGGCTGTAGAGAAAAAGGAACCCTCCTGCACTGCTGGTGGGAGTGCAGACTGGTACAGCCACTATGGAAATGTGTGGAGATTCCTTAAATAGCTAGGATTGGAGATTCTATTCAAGCCAGCTATTCCTCTCCTGGGTATTTTTCCAGAAGGACTGAAAACCTCATATTACATTGATATATGTGCACCCATGAGTTACAGCAGTGCAATTGGTCATAGCTAAATCCTGGAAACAACCCAGATGCCCATCAATTGAAGAATGGATAAGGAAGATGTGTCTTTACACAATGAAGTATTATTCAGCTATAAAATAGGATAAATTTGAGTTTCTGTCAATAAATGAATGCAATTAGAGAATGTACTCTCAAGTGAAATAAATCAGATCTGCATGTGCAAACATCACACTGTCTCCTTAGTGTGAGAACCTCAAAGAGAAAAGTAGAATCTGAAGGGTACAATAGACACTTGTAAAGGGAATGAACTTACTCAAAAGGAAAAAGTTACTGAGTTGAGAAGGACAGAAGGACTGGTGGAAAGATTTATGGATATATGTAAGCAGGATGGTTTGGAGAACAGTACTTTACTGTGCATTTCTGCTGATCTATGGAAAGAAGCAGTTAATGCTTTAATTTATTTCATTTTTTTTTCAATTGTTTCTCTTTTTTGTCTTAATTTCTTATACATACATTTCTTTTTTTCTTCTTCCAATTTTACAGGTAGATATCTGGTAATATGAATAACTGGTTGGAAGATAACACTATGCATTACAAGAAATAATGTGAAATTTATATTACTTTGTTAAGTGAAAACCTGTATCGCTTGTAATTTTTTCTATTTTAATTCTAAGTCATACTCTTTAAAAAAAAAAAAAAAATTAAAGAAGCCATGCAATCCAGGCATGGTGGCACATGCCTGTAATCTCAGTGCTAGGAAGGCAAAAAACAGGAGGATGACTACGAATCCAAACTGCGTAGTGAGACCCTGCACAAAAAAAAAAAAAAAAAAAAGAAGCCATGCAGTGGGGCTCAAACCAAGATGTTCTGGCTACTATGCTCTGGATTTATCCAGGTTTTATCAGCATTATTACTTACACCATGTAAGTAATTTTGCAACATTATGCCTTCCTTTACAATCATAACCTATGGGTACTTACATTTCAATGGGCATCAGAATCACCTAGACAATCTGACAGCCCTACACCCAGAAGCCTAGCTTCAGTCCCTAACACTGATTCTTCAGAGGCTGGGGGCAAGAATCCACATTTCTACTAAGTTCCAGGCAATTCTGCTGCTATGCCACAGGGACTTTCACCCTTTGACCCAAACCAAGACTTTCTATGTATACACACCAGCCCATTCAAAAGAACTCAATGTCAGGTTTAGATGTGCACAAACTTTCTAGTTCCAAACTTTTGAAACAACAGAAAATAAATTGGCTAGCACATATTTTCAACCAAATGAGAACCAGTTTCTCCATTTGTAAATTAGTATTTACAATGTATACAATACTGGGTTGGCACTTTGCTAAGTAACTAGTATGCACATTAAAAGGTCAGCACCCCACTTGCTGCAGATGGGAGCCATTTCCTGGAAAAGGAACAACTGCAACAAAAAAAAGCAATGTTGGACATCTGCTATAGACAACAACAGACAATATTTTTTTTTTGCGGAACTGGGGATTGAATTTAGGCCCCTTGTGCTTGCCAGGGAAGCACTTATTCTGCTACATTGTCTTGAAAATAGTTTCCCTGACAAACCTCAAGCCAAAACTTTTCACCAACTAAAACAGAATTTTCGTATTGCTAGGTTGTGATTTTTTTTTAATCATACTATACTTTATCCTCATCAAATTCTGATAGAAAGTAAAACATCTAAGTCAAATGATGCCATGATCACCGAAAAGAAACCTAGTAACAAGTTTTTAAACTGATATATACTAACAGATACATTTACT